TTCAACTGTATTAGATTATCTTTTCCTGTGTCACATATAGTCTTCAAGTTGTTAAAGAAAGTTCAAAATGAGCTGGGCACAGTGGTGTACACCTGCAATCCCAGCTACTTGGGAGACCGAGGCAGATGGATCCTAAGTGACAGGCCAGCCTGGACAACTTAGTAAGACACTGTCTCAAAATAAATAAAAAGGGATAGGGATGTGACTCAGTGGTAGAGCCCACTGGGTTCAATCCCCAGTACTGCCAAAAAAAAAAAAAAAAAAAAGGAGGAAGGAAAGGAAAAGAAAGCTCACAATGAGAATATTTCACCCCTAAGAGCAGCCATGATGATTTCCTGTATTGACTTGCAGGTCATTCTACCACCTCCACTACTGGTCCCAAAAAAAGGGCTGCACCAAAAGGAACCAAGAAGGATCCAAACTTGAACTCTGATGTCTCTCAAAAGCCTGAACCTGCCAAAACCAAGAATCGACGCAAAAGGAAGCCATCCACTTCTGATGATTCTGACAGTAATTTTGAGAAAGTCATTTCTAAAGCAGCCGCAAGCAAGGTATTATTCCTGTTTAGTCTTTTTACTCTAGATGTTTTGAAATACCTAACTACATTTTTCCTGTTAATTTGATATATTTTTAAGAATTTTAAATCTCAAATTCATTAGTTTTTGCTGTGGATAGTTTAGCTATGAGAAAAATTAAATATGGCTGGATATGGTAGAGCACACCTGTAATCCCAGCAAAAGTGGTAAAGCAGYGCCCCTGAGTTCACTCCCTAGTGCCAAAAAAAATTAAGTAAGGCACTTATTTAAATATCAATGGGATTGTTTCCTTAGATCTATTTCTTACTACTTAGTAGAAGGTAGAAAACTCTTTGAATTATAATTATGCTATCATGTTTACATTATGCAAATTACTTGACATTCCTCTTTAGAAACCCAAGGGGGAGAGCGATGACTTTCATCTGGACTTGGACTCAGCTGTGGCTCCTCGCGCAAAATCTGGACGGGCAAAGAAACCTATAAAGTACCTTGAAGAGTCAGATGACGATGATTTGTTTTAAAACATGAAGTGTTTATTTTAAGGAATGGTCTTACTGAGCCCAAGACTGCTTTTAAAGTCACCTAAAATTCTTAAATTCCTCTCCTCTGAATTAGTTTTGGGAAGGTATTTTAATATACAACTATCAGAGCAAAGTGAGTAGTGACTCTTTCCTGGGCATTGTTTTCTTCTCTGCTTTGTATGTTACATCTGTTTTCTTTGGTCTTTAAAGTCTGATTTTAAATTCTTCTGGACTCTAGTAATAGTGAGGTGGTCACTTCAGGAAATTGTTGACCATTCATTAAGCTAAAACTAGAGCATTTTGATTTAAAAGTATCACTCTGCCTTCTTTCCTATTTTCATTAAATATGAAATAGAGCATGATAAATTCCATATTATCTTTGTTTTATTGATAATAGTCCATCAAATAGAACTTGATAGTTCTAATCCAGTACTCTTCTGTTCAGCCTTTATGTACTGAATTTTTGTTCAAAGAATGAGAAATTGCTTATATCCTCCTGAAAATCATCAGAAGCTGAAGAAAATTACCTTGACTGTATCTGCATGACCTCGACCCAGTCAACAGGATGAGAATATCAGGCCAGTCATAGGACTGTCTCAACTCTTGACTTGTCCCCTCTGCTGCCTCTAAGTCAGAATCTCCCAAAGGATTAATATCTATGGAGCACTATATTGCAGAGTGGGGGATATCATTTGCTCAGAGATCTTACATATGACATTAAAACCATTCTCAGCAGTGAACCATTAGATCCCTTTTGGGAAATCTTCATAATTTCAACTTGTAAACCTTTAAGACCTTTCTCTGCATTGTTTGTGTATTGTTACTTGAGTGATGTTATCAATGTTTTTGTAAATATTTACTATGTTTTTCTATTTAGCTTAACTCCAACAATTTTGTACTTTAATAAAATGTTCTAAACATTGCAAGCCATTCATTGCCCCCTTTTATGACCCACACTACACCTTATTTTAAAAAACTGGGTAGAATGGCACGCCCCTATAAATCTCAGCTACTTGGGAGGCTGAGGCAGGATTGCAAGTTACATGAACAAAGGGCTGGGAGTGTGGCTTAGTGGTTAAGCGACCCTGAGTTCAATCCCTGGTACCAAAATAAATATGTGTGAGATATATATATATATATATATATATATATATATATATATATATATATATATCCCTTAGCCAGGTGCACTAGTGCACACCTATAATCCCAACAAATCCAGAAACTGCAAGCAGGAAGATCACAAGTTCAAGGCCAGCCTTTGTGGTGCTGGGGATGGATTCAGGACCTTTTACATGCTAGGCGTGCTCTACCACTGACTTATACCCACAACACCACCTACCTATATTTCTTTTAAAACTTAACATGAATCCACAATTATTTCCAAGCAGGAAGATACTAATATATAGTTCTGTAACAATAAAACGGGAAATAAGTGTCCAAAAATAGAGGACTTCTGATAAAATATTTGGGTTAAACAAATTGTAAAGGTGGAATATCAGGTACCTATTAAGTGTGAACATGTGTGTTTATTTACAAGAAAAACTATTCTATGACATTGCTGAGTAAAAAAAAGTAGGTTACAAATCAAAGGTGAAATCCCTGTCTTGTTTACAAGATAAATAGTGGGGAAAAACCCTCATTAGAAGAAAAATCTGAAATATTTCTTAAAAGAAGTTTGCTCCGGATTAGAAAAGAGCTTACTAACTGTAAGAAAAGTTTGTTCCTTGACTCTCTACATGTTATCTCTAAGCTACTGGCATTCAAGGAGATAAAAATTGCAGTGTGGGCTGGGGATGTGGCTCAAGCGGTAGCAAGCTTGCCTGGCATGTGTGTGGCCCGGGTTCAATCCTTAGCACCACATACAAACAAAAGATGTCTGCCGAAAACTAAAAAATAAATATTTAAAAAAAAATTCTCAAAAAAAAAAAGTTGCAGTGCTTAATAAACTTAGATCATTTAGACCTTTTCTAGAATGTAATTTTTTCCTATGCATATGAGAAATGGCTTAGATAAATTAATACAAATTACAAAGGGAGAAATGAGATTTTAAAATTGCATTAGTGGATAAATGATTCATTAATCAACTTAGTAAGCCTTTTTTCTTTTTTTTTTTTTTTTTTGGTACTGGGTATTGAACCCAGGAGCACTAAAAATTTTTTTTAAATATATTTTAAAAAGAAGATAATCTGTTCTTGCTTATTCAGAATCCTTAGTAATTCTACTTTGGAAAATTCTATAAAAATTCAAATTTTGTTTAATGTCAGGCGTGGTGGTGCACGCCTGTAATCCCAGTTATTTGGGAGGCTGAGGCAGAAGGATTCTAGGCCATCCTGGGCAACTTGTTGAGACCCTAACTTAAAATTTAAAAGGGCTGGGGATGTAGCTCAGTGGTAAAGCACCATGGATTCCATCCCCAGTACTGCCAATTTTTTTTTTATTTAAAATAAAAGTAACATGGATTGTAGTTATTACAATGAACTGGAATCACATCAGGAATTGATCACAGATGTTTTTATCTTTCATTCATATGCAGTGAGATGCATTTGCAAATCCAAGCAGAATTTTTACAACATGGAAAAATGAACTGAACTGACACTTCTCCAAAGAAGAACAAATAATTATATGTGTATGAAAAAAAAATGTTCTACCATGTTAGCCATCAGGGAAATGCAAATCAAAACTACATTGAGGGGCTGGGGTTGTGTGGCTCAGTGGTGCTTGCCTCACATGTGTGAATCACTGGGTTCAATTCTCAGCACTGCATATAAATAAATGAATAAAATAAAGGTCCGTCAACATTAAAAAAAAATTAAAAAAAAAAAAAACTACATTGAGATTCCATCTGACCCCAGACAGAATGTCTATTATCAAGAATACAAAAAAAAACAGCCAGGTGTGGTGGCTCATGCCTGTAATCCCAGCAGCTCAGGAGGCTGAGGCAGGAGGATCACAAATTCAAACCCAGCCTCAGCAAAAGTGAGGCGCTAAGCAATTCAGTGAGACCCTGTCTCTAAATAAAATACAAAAAGGGCCCCTGAGTTCAATCTCCAGTACAAAAAAAAAAAAAAAAAAAGTACAAAAAACAAGCTGGGCACAGTGGTGCACTTCTGTAATCCCAGTGGCTCCGCAGGAGGATTTCGAGTTCAAAGCCAGCCTAAGCAATTTAGCAAGAYTCTAAGAAACTTTAGCAAGACCCTGTCTCTAAATAAAATATTTTAAAAAGGTTTGAGGGGCTGGGGATGTGGCTCAAGCGTAACTCGCTTGCCTGGCATTCGTGCAGCGCTGGGTTCGATCCTCAGTACCACATAAAAATAAAATAAAGATGTTGTGTCCACCGAAAACTGAAAAATAAATATTAAAAAATTCTCTCTCTCTTAAAAAAAAAAAGGTCTGGCGATGTGGCTCAGGAATTAAACACCCCTGGGTTAGATCCCCATCCCCCAAAACAATGCCAGGCATAGTGATACATGGCTGTAATCACAGTGACTGGGGAGGCTGAAGCAGAAGGATTTCAAGTTCAAAACTAGCCTCAGCAACTTAGCGAAGCCCTGTCTCAAATTTTTAAAAAATTTCAAAAAGTCTGGGGATGTCTCTCAGTGGGGGGTCACTCCTGTATTCAATCCTGGGTACAGGGGATCCAGATGCTGCAAGGATTTGGGGTGAGGGGCAAGGAACCTTTATAGTTTATGTCACAGAATAATCATGCCATCTTTTTTTCAGATCAAAAGTTGGTTTCTAACCTTTCATTGCTTAACAGTCACATGGTATAATTCCGCTCAACAGGCCACTTAAAGGGTAAACAGCAGCCACGCACTCACCAGTGGCACAGAGTTCTACTTTTACATTCTTACACACTGGGAGCTGAGAGCCTAGAATTCTCCATGCACTTACATTGTCATATATCATTTATTTATTTTTAAACAAAATTCTGCATTTTCAAAAAAATATGGAACACTTTACGAATTGGCATGTCATTCTTGAGAAGGGGCCTTGCTAATCTTCTCTGTCTTGTTCCAATTTTAGCATATGTGCTGCCGAAGCGAGCACTTGTCATCATATTTTAAATGCCAACTTGTGTAGTTTGTTTACAGCACAGCAGTACTAACGGTAAACACATAAGTGAATGGACAAAGAAAATGTGGAATATGTTCACAATATCCACTCATTTCAAGAGTGGAGTTGAGTGAACTTTACCACTGAGCTACATGCCCAGCCCTTTACTTTTTTTTTTTCCTGCTGTGGTGCTGAGAATCCAACCCAGGCATTATGCATGCTAGGCAAGCACTCTTCCACTGATCCACATTCCCAGTCCTTAATTCTTTTTTAATTTATTTTTTAGTTTTAGGTGGACACAGTATCTTTATTTTACATTTATGTGGTGCTAAGGATTGAACCCAGTGCCTCGTGCATGCTAGGTGAGCTCTCTACCAATGAGCCACCCCCCAGTCCCCAGTCCTTAATTTTTAATTTGGAATAGAGTCTTGATAAATTGCCAAACTTGAGATCCTCTTGCCTCAGCCTCCCAAGTAGCTGGGATTACAGGCAAGTATATTCCACCTAGCCCTGTCTCAGTCTTGACTTTTTTTTTTTCTTTGTATTGGCATTGAACCCAGGGGAACTTAATGACTGAGCCACACCCCCTCACCTTTTTTATTTTTTATTTCAAGACAGGGTCTTTCTAAATTGCTTAGGGCCTGATGAAATTGCTGAGGCTGGCCTGGAACTTGCAATCCTCCTGCCTTAGCCTCCAAGTTGCTGGCATTACAGGCATGCATTACTATGCCTGGCCCACATTGTAAAATTTTAAAGACTTTGCAATTCCACAGTTGTAAAATTAGTTTATTAGGTTTGCAAGAGTTGTTTTAATATGTAGGAAGATATTACTTGTGATAGTGGTCAGTCACATCAGGCAATTTAGTAATTTTTTAGAAATGTCTAAAAAATTCATCAATTAGGTTTATAATTATCATTTATAACTTAGGCAAGTTTAGATCATTAAAATTATAATTAGAAATTAAGAAATAAGTGAGCCGGATGTAGTGGCACATGCCTGTAATCCCAGTGGTTTAGGAGGCTGAGACCTGAAGATGGTGAGTTCAAAGCCAGCTTCAGCCAAAGCGAGGCACTAAGCAACTCAGTGAGACCCTATCTCTAAATAAAATACAAAATAGGGTTGGGGTATGGCGCAGTGGGCGACTGCCCCTGAATTCAATCCCCAGTACTCCCCTCAAAAAATAAAAGAAAGAATTAAAGAAGGAATAAGTGAAAAGTATTATTCTTATTCTATACCTTAATTACTAAGTATATAACCAGAATGACACATTGTATAAATTGAACTTGAAGGCTGTGTTAGTCAACTTGCCATTGATGTGACAAAAAATCCTGAGATAAACAACTTAAATCCCGCAAGTTGGAAGGCTGAGGCAGGAAGATTGTAAGTTACAGGCCAGCCTCAGCAACTTAGTGAGACCCTATCTCAAAATACAAAGGCTGGGATTGTGGCTCAGCGGTAGATCGCTCATCTAGCACGTGTGAGGCCCTGGGTTCAATCCTCAGCACCACATAAATTAATAAAATAAATACAATAAAGATATTGTGTCCAGTTACAACTAAAAAAAATATTTTTAAAAAATTCAAAGAGGAAAAAAAAAGTGAGGGTATGGCTTAGTGGTTAAACATCACTGGGTTCAATTGCCAGTACCTGAGAAAACAAAAAAGAGGAAAAATTTATTTTGGTTCACAGTTTCAGAGGTTTCAGTCTATAGTCACTTGGCCCAGTCACTTTGGACCTGTAGCAAGGCAGAGCTGTGTGGTAGGGAAAACTGCTCACCTTGGAGCAGCCAGGATACAAAGAAAGTGAGAGGGAAGGGCCAATATCCCCTTCAAGGCCACACCCCCATGACCTACCTTCCTTCCACTAGGTTCCACCTCCCAAAGACTCCACTACCTGCCCAACAGCACCACAGCCAATGCGGAGGCACACTGCCTGTCATCTCCACGACTCTGGAGTCTGAGGCAGGAGGATCACAAGTTTGAGCACAGAAGTCCTTATCCTGAATCACAAACTCAAACTGTTAGGACAAGACAAACTACTTTATTTCGTAAAGAACTGGAAGAGAAGCAGATGATAAAGGGGGATAAGAGGACCAGCGTAGATGTGAGGGGAAGAGGAGGAGGGTAGAAGAGAAGAAGGGGGAGGAAAGAGCCATGTAGAGAAGGGGACAGAGACTCAGACGAGGATGACAGTCTTACTCTGTGTTTTCACTTCCCCATCAGAGACTTTCAGTACAGATCAACACTGCTTTTTTCTCTTATTTTATTGAAGTATAATTTACATACACAAAATTCAGCCATTCTAATTGTACAGACTGACATTTGGCACACATATATCCTGTGTAATCACCATCACGATGAAGATATAAAGTCTTTCCATCACTCCAAAACATGTGTCTCCTCAACTCCTGGCCCCAAACACTGACCCGACTTCCACCAATAGAGGTTATTTTTACCTATTCTAGAATTTCATATGAATAGAATCACACAAGATGATCACTTTTATCTCAGACTTCTTTCATTTAGCAGAGTGGTTTTTTAAAATTCATCCCTTTTACATGTATTAATAGTGCCTTGTGTGTGTGTGTGTGTGTGGTGCTGGGGGGATTGAACCCAGAGCCTTGTGCATGAGAGGCAAGGTCTCTTACCAACTGAGCTACATTCCCAGCCCTAAGAGTGCCTTTTTCATGTTATTGCTAAATGTGATTCCACTGCATGGATTTGTTTATCCGTTCACCTGCTGACGGACATTTGGATTGTTTCCAGCTTGGGGCTATTATGAATAAAGTTGCTCTGATCACTAGAATACATATCCTTTTTAGAYATACTTTTTTCATTTCTCTTGGGTAAATACCTAGGAATGGAATCTTTGACTCATATGTTAAGTGTACATTTAATCCTTTTTTTTTTCTTCTTTTAATTGGGGATCAAACCCAAGAGGATTCTACCTCTGAACTACATCTCAGCCCTTTCTCTAAATTTTATTTTGAGACAGGGTATCACTATGTTGCCCAGGCTGATCTTGAACTTGCAATTCTCCTGCCTTAGTCTTCCTAGTCGCTGGGAATACAGGTGTTTGCCACTGATCCAGGCAAGTGTATGTTTAACTTTATAAGAAGCTGAGGAACTGCTTTTCAAAGCCAGCTTTGTATCATTTTTGTATCCCTCCCCCCACGGCCACTTACATTTTTCCTCTATACCTTCAGGGGTCAGATTTGCATTTCTTTTGAGTCAGACAGTATATTCACCGGCCTCAAGGCRTCCCCAGTACATCCTGGTGAGTGTCAAAAGAAATACCAATAAATGTTACTTTAGCTGGACGAAAAGAGGTTCTATCTACAGTGATCTTGTCTTCTGCACCCAGTAATCTGATTCTAAGACCTGTTCCAAGCGGAGTTCTTTGGGCACAGGAGAATTGCTTTCAGGGACGGAGTCACCTATGGTCAGCCAGTCAATTGACCTGGAGGTGACCTGATGGAAATCCCACCTTGCATCATCCTCCTTGAGAACTGCTGGAAGGGAAGAAATCTTGGAGACCTCTCTCAATACCACTCCAGGTCTAGAATCATGAGGCTAGGGTGACAGATAGGGATCAGGACCCCTGGCTACAGGCCAGGGATTGTGACTGCTTATATGTCTTGACATTCACAAACGGGCCATGTAAGGCTGTATGGAGGGAAAAGGACTTTGAAAGATGCTTCTTAAAAGCCTCAAACCTGGGGCTTGGGTTGTAGCTCAGTGGTAGTGTGCTCGCCTAGTATGCAGGAGGCACTGGGCTCGATCCTCAGCACCACGTAAATGTAAAATAAAGATATTGTGTTCACCTAAAACTAAAGAATAAATATTAAAAAAAAAAAAAGACTCAAGCCTTTCCCCACTCTTAATCTCAGAGCATTTCTCTCACCTGTCAGTTCTTTTGGGGCTTTCAAGGAAAGGAAGAGAGCGACTCCCAAGCCTGTCAGATGAGCCAATGCAGGACCCACCCCGGAGTAAGTTTGCTATATGTGTAACCTAAAATATGGGTGAAAAGGAGGAAAAAGATAGGTAGAGGTCTCCTTTTGGAAGGCAGTGACCCCTCTGCCCAAGGATAGGAAAGGATGGAGCTTGGCAGAGGTCCATGAAGAAAGGCCAGAGGTGCAGTCACTTGGAAGGGCCTGGGGACGAGGTGACAAACCAGACTGAGGAGTTTCCCTCTTCCTCCAGGAGAAACTATACAGGGGAAGCTGGTAGGGACAGGGACTTGGAGAAAACTGAGTGTCCCCGACGCCCCAACTCAGCGTGGAGGATCAATGCCAGAAACAGATATAGGACAGTGAGAGAGTACAAGTTCCCCTAGAATAAAGACTACATTTCCCAGGCTCCCTTGCGGATAGGCAGGGCCTAGAGAGCCGGTCCTAACCAATGACTTCGCGTAGACGGGTCATGTGGCAGCCCTCGGCCTCTCTGGGAACCAGAGCGCTGTAGGGAGGGGCTTGGCCCAATCCACGCGACGTTGCCTGCCCTGYGTCTCCCTTCCTGGCGAGAAAGCAGTGTTCTACAGTTCTTGTTGCTCCTCCAGCCAAGCCTAGTCTTGAATAACCTTAGAGCCAAAGGAGGAGTCAAAGCGGGAAAAGGAAGCGGGTCCCAGTTGTAGGTAAATCGCAGAGCCCTAGGGGTGTGTTGGGAGCCTGGGGCTGAGCGCTGGGGAGAAGAGGGAGGTTGCAGAAGTACCTGGTGAAGTAGCCCAGAACCAACCACCTGCGCACATTGCCCACTCCCTGTCTTTCCCTGCCCAGGCTTTTGGCACATGGCCCCCTGAGCCAGAGAGGACTCCTGCCCATGCCCTGCCCTCAACCACGGGGGTTCTCTGATTCCTCTCTGCCCCGCATTGCACATTCTGAGTATAGACCTGAGACTGAGTTGGCCACTTAAGTGGAGCACAAGCTCTAGAGACCAGAGTGAGTAGTTGTGGGTGGGACCCAGGATATAGATCTGCATCCTCCCCAACCCTCCCACTCCACTTCATCCATTTGCCCACCCAATAGATATTACGGAACTTCCACCAGTGTTTAAGTGCTGGGGATTGGACAGGGAAGAAAACCAAAAAGCCTGCAGTCATGGAGCCTAGGTGCCAATGTGGGAGGCCGGGGTAGATGCTGCACAGGATAAATAAGAAAAACATAAAGTATGTTATGTAGTGATCAGTGCAGAGGAAATAAAGCTGAGAAGGGGTAGGAAGTAGGGGGTTACATTCAGGTAGGGCCACTAGGGAAAGCCTCACTCACTAAAAGGCAGCTTTCCTGTGAAGATGTTTTTTGCTGCAGTAGGTAGCAAGCCCAAGGCCTTCTGCTAACAAGTGTTCTACCACTGAGCTCCATCTCGAGTCCTTATTAATTTTTATTTTTTGTTGGGGTGGGGGTTACCAGGGATTGAACCTGAGGCACTCGACCACTGAGCCACTCCCCAGCCCTATTTTGTATTTTATTTAGAGACAGGGTCTCACTGAGTTTTTTAGCACCTTGCTGTTGCTGAGGCTGGCTTTGAACTCAAGATCCTCCTGCCTCAGCCTCCCCAGCTGCTGAGATTATAGACCTGCACCACCATGCCTGGCTCTTTTTATTCTATTTTAAGAGAAGATCTTGGCCTGGTTGCCCATGCCTGCAATCCCAGCAACTCAGTAGGCAGAGGCAGGAGAATCACAAGTTCATGACCAGCCTGAGCAATTTAGCAAAACCTTATTTCAAAAGTAAAAAAAAACATAAAAAGGGCTGGGGATGTGACTCAGTGGTAGGGTGTTCCTGGGATTAGTCCCTCCCTTGGGGAAAAAAAATTTGACAGGGTCTCTCTAAGATGTTGAGGCTGGCCTTGAATTTGGGATCCTCCTGCCTCACTCTCCTAAATAGCTGGGATTACAGGCATGCATCATGGTGTCCGGCTCGGTATAGACTTTAAAATATTGAAGGGGGCTGGGGATGTGGCTCAAGCGGTAGCGCGCTTGCCTAGCGTGCGTGCGGCCCGGGTTCGATCCTCAGCACCACATACCAACAAAGATGTTGTGTTCGCCAAGAACTAAGAAAAAATAAATAAATATTAAAATTCTCTCTCTCTCACTCTCTCTTTAAAAAAAAATAAAGAAAGAAAAATAAAATATTGAAGGGGTGTAGGAGAAGAAAATACACTTATGTCTCGCTATGGCATGGTATTAACTTGATAAGTACAAACATGTGCGTGCTGCATTATGTGTGCCCCTTTGTGACTAATGAAGGAAGTGTCTCCACATCCCAGCAGACCAGGGTGAAGTGTCTGGAACAGACTGGAGCAGGGCAGGAAGGGCTGTATTCATCTTCAAGCAGGGCCAAGAGGGGCCAGTGCTCTGGGCATTGTCAGCGACACCTCTCCCAGCCCAGACAGCACTATCTGAGAAGGAGGATGGGCCTTGGAGATTATAGCGTCTCCTATGTCTGGCCCTGTGACTTGGGGGCCAGGGAACAGTGCAGGATGACTACGGGCTCTCTATCCCCCCCCCTCCCGTGCACACCTCAGCCCCTTTCTACTCCCTTTGCACTCCTGCCAGACAGGAGTTAGGGTTTTTTCCAGGCTGGGCCCATGGCCTGACCCAGCAGGGCCACAGGGATGGGGCAGGGACCATCCTGGACAGTCAGGAGAGATGAGGCGTGACCCTGAACCCCTGTGGTTGAGGACAGGGCATGGGCAGCAGCTTTGCTGAGGACAGATGGAGAATGGGGAGGGAGAGGTCAGCAGTGCCCCCTCCACACATCCTGTTTTCAGAATGTGAGACCCTATCACGTGCTCTTCCCTTTGGCCTTCATCCAGGGCAGCACCCCCCACCCAGGACCACTCCCAAGGCACCCCTGCAGGAGGGTGGGAGGTTCCCCCGGCACACCCACGCAGGGCTTCACCTAAGTTTTTCCAGGCTGGGCTGGGCCCCTGAGCCAGTGGGGGTGAAGGGCACATTTCCCACCCCTTCCTGAAAGCAGACCAAGGGGTCCCTATCAGCAAATGGAAAACCATGCAGGTCCCTGTGGCTGACTGAAAGAGGAAATGTCACGTGGCAGGCTCTGGGACATCACCTGGGAATCCCAGCCAGGTCAGAGGAAAGACAGACAGGCTTAAGAACCAGTCAGGCAGAGTGTGAGGCCAGGATCTGCTGTGGCATGACTGGTGGCATGACTGCAGGCAAGTAGCTTAGACCCCCTGAGTCTCAGTTTCCCTGGCTGTAAAGAGTGCCCTCCTGCCAGGGTTGGTAGGAGGACTGAATGAGCAAATGGGCGTGTCCAGGCTCCAGGCCCTGTCCAGCAAGTGAGAGGGGGCAGTGTGCTAGCTGGGCAGACTCCTAGGACTCCCTAGCTGCTCAGGCCCCCATCAGTCATCCTAACTCCCCTCCCCAATGAGACAGCCTCTCTTGCCACCTACAAGAGTAGGAGACCATTGATGGACTAAAAAGGCTTATAATATAACATGGTCAACATAATAAATCTGGAAATTACATAAAAGCAGAAAGGAAGCCAAAGCCTTTGTTTAACTACCAAAGCCAGTCACTCTGGATACCTTGATGTTGTTCCACATGACATTTCCAAGCACAGGGCTTTTGATTTTCTGTAACATGGCTGAGACCTGAGCATTAAGATGGTGAGCCAGACTTGGGGGTCAGCTGGCCCAGCTTCCTTGGATGGAGATCCTGGCCCAGAAGAGTGGAATGACTTATCCAGGTCAAGAAGTGGCAGAGCTGGAACCAGAAACCATTAGATGTTTGTTGCCTCCTAAACACCAGTAAGAACTTCCTCCTGGCACCAAAGACCACCTTCAAAAGGAACATTTATAGCAGATCTTGGCTTCCAGTTGGGAGCGTCTGTTGAGGAAGAGCTTCCATGAACCCCTTGGCTCCTTCAATAAAAGATGTGGCTCTGACTAACCCTATGCCTTTCTGCAGATGTAGACCCAGCTAGGGGATGAGGGAGAGGTGGAAAGGGAGGGTTGGCAGAGCCCAGCAAGGGGTGTGGCCTTGGATCTGTTCCCAGGGTGGAGCCAGCCATCAGGGTCACCCTGTCCCTTTAAGAGAAGGGGGAGAGCTAGCCCCTCTCAGCCATCCTGGCCTGTCATCCATCCCAGCCAAATCCGAAAGGGAAAATGAAAGAGGGACCAGGAGGAACAGGTCCCAGCTGTCTCCCAAGGTCCTGCTCTTGGCTCTAACACCTCAACCCCAACCCCTGGTGAGTGGGTCAGCTGTGGGTCTGGGGGCACCAAGGGGCTGTGGGGGACCCTTAGGACTGTGTGTCAGGGAGGTTCTCTGGAGATTCTGTAGGATGGATGCCTGGCAGGAGGCGGGAGGAGGCTGGGCCGCATTCCCACCACCGTGCTAGGAATGGGCAGCAACACCCAGAACAGAAGAGTCGCAGGAGTGGCGGCTGCTTTTGTATTAGCCCCTTGATCCCACCAGGCGTTCCCTGTGGTTCCCAGAACAAGAGGAATGGTGGGCAGGGAAAGAAGAAGGTCTCAGTGGCTCTGCCTGCTGTTCCCCAACACTCCCAGGAGTCCCAAATGGGGCCTGGCATCCTGGACTCCAGGCATGGCCCTTGCGGATGGCCAGCATTGGTGCATACATGGCCACTGGGCCTCAGCTTCCATAAGTGCAAGTCAAGGGCTGGCCCTGGGCATCTACAGAGTCCCTTCCCCAAAGTCTGAAATCTGGAGGAGTATAAGGGCCAGCCGAGCAGGCCAAGCAGGCCCAAGCAGGCCCTGACTAAACTCCCAGGATGCTGCTTCCCAGCTYAGAAAGAAGAGAACTTAGGGAATCACCTCCTCCATTTAGACCCCTTCGTCCTGGGCTCCGCTGTTAACTCATTCACTCCCACAAAACCCTGCTGCACCAGGCTTCTCTGACCCCTGGTGCACTCTGAAGTTAGAGAAAACTGACTCCCACCCCATGGGCGTGGGAGGGGCTGGGGTCCCCATCAGTCCCTGCCTCTTACTACCCTCTGCATCCCCAGCACCATGGGAGAGTGGGCGTTCCTAGGCTCACTGCTGGACGCGGTGCAACTACAATCGCCTCTGGTGGGTCGCCTCTGGTTGGTGGTCATGCTGATCTTCCGCATCCTGGTGCTGGCCACCGTGGGCGGCGCGGTGTTCGAGGACGAGCAAGAGGAGTTTGTGTGCAACACATTGCAGCCGGGTTGTCGCCAGATCTGCTACGACCGCGCCTTCCCAGTCTCCCACTACCGCTTCTGGCTCTTCCACATCCTGCTGCTCTCCGCGCCGCCGGTGCTGTTCGTCATTTACTCCATGCACCAGGCCAGCAAGGAGGCGGGCGGCGCGGAGGGTGCAGCGCCGTGTGCGCGCGGGCTCCCGGAGGGCTCTTGCGCGCCCTGCGCCCTGCGCGCTCGCCGCACGCGCCGCTGCTACCTGCTGAGCGTGGCGCTGCGCCTCCTGGCCGAGCTGGCCTTCCTGGGCGGCCAGGCGCTGCTCTACGGCTTCCGTGTGGCCCCGCACTTCGCGTGCGCCGGCCCGCCCTGCCCGCACACCGTCGATTGCTTCGTGAGCCGGCCCACCGAGAAGACGGTCTTCGTGGTCTTCTACTTCGCCGTGGGGCTGCTCTCGGCGCTGCTCAGCGTGGCCGAGCTGGGCCATCTACTCTGGAAGGGCCGCCCGCGCTCTGGAGAGCGCGACAACCGCTGCAACCGTGCGCACGAGGAGGCGCGGAAGCTGCTCCCGCCGCCGCCGCCGCCCGCCCTGCCATCGCAGCGCCCCGACCCAGATCCCTACGCCCCACCCGCCTATGCGCACCCGGCACCGGCCGGTGACAGCGAAGGCGAGGGCGGAAGCGGCCGCAGCAAGGCGTCACTAGCCACTGTCCGTCAGGACCTGACCATCTAGCGGCGGTCCCTGCCCTGTGTGGACGGTGAGATCCCAGGCCGAACCCCACCACCCGGGTCCCTGCCGTAGAAGCAAGAGACTTCCGAAAGGACTGTCGCGGGACCCTGCCTGAGCACGGTGGACTGGCCCGGGGAGGCATAGCACTTAAGGAGTGCGCGCAGGTGCCACTGGCAGCAGCCATTCCGGGGTCGCAGAGAATGAACTAAGGCGGGTCCCTGATGCTCTGATCCTGGTCGGAAGGGAGGAGGCCAAGGGGACTGAGAAGTGGACGTGAGGAAGGCAGCTAGTGACCTGGTTGTAGTAGGGACAGAACCAACTGTGATACCAGCATTCCCAGGCGCTCTCCTTGTTCGGAGAGGGGTGACTTCCCTGTGGGTTCTTGGTGAGTGTTCGCAAATGAACACATGAATATGCTGTGAGATTTGTGTGCACACGCAAAACCTGTGTGAGCTGTGTGCACCGGGAGCCTGTGAACACCCTGTATGCATGCAGGTGCACACACGTGTTCACACACACACCCCTCCCAAATGTATTGTGAATACAGGTGCRCATAGACACATGGACCTCTTGGTGAGCAATGCGTGGTGTGTACTTGTGCACACAGACACATATATGTCCTACATGAACTGTTGCACACGTGTCATGTACATCCTGCGGGAGCTGGGTGTGTGAGATCACTTACATGCGCTGCAAGGATAGCCAGAATCCAATGCCAGCAGCAGCCACAGTGACTGTCTCCCCACTCCCCTAACTCAGCCCACCTGAGGGCTTCCTAGGAAGGTGTCCCCTCCTGAGAGGACACACCGGAAGTTGGGGGGAGGAGTCACCCTTCACAGGGGCAGATCTCTTGTAAACACATCCCACTCTCCACCCAATGGCTGGGGTAGGGTGACTGGGCCCTTGGATGGAGGTAGAGTGGGGTAGGATGGGCCAGAGGGTAGGACAGACTAGTGTTTGCCAGTTTTTGTTCTGTTTTGTTTTTAGTACTAAACCCAGGACCACTAGGCTGCAGCCCCAGCCCTTCCTTAATTTTTTTTTTTTTTTTTGAGACAGGGTCTTGGTTGCCCAGGCTGGCCTTGAACTTGTGATCCTCCTGCTCAGATTCTGTGCCCAGCCTAGTGTCATTGTTTCATTTTCCATTTTCACCCTTCTTGTTGTCGGCTCCACCCTGGGGAGAAACTGCCCCTGAGACAGGCTCCTGCCTGGTTCCCCTCAGCTCTCCCCTGCACCCACACCCCGGCATTCAAAGGACCGTCCCCTCAGCTGCCTCACACCTGCCTGTCTCTCCCCTACCCCCATCTGTCTTCCTCCTTCACCACCCCAGTGAAGACACTGTTGATAACCAAGAGACAAATCCAGGGGCCACCATGTCACCGCACCTCAGGGACTCGCTCCAACCCTGCTTGCTTACCTGGCTCTGCTGTTGACCACCATGTCCCCGCTCTACTTCATTTCCCAGGTCTCTGGAGTGCCCGCTGCTCTTTCCCTCAGTTTCCCTCCTGTGTGCCACACAGCAGCCTGAGGGACTGTCTAAGTTTCTCCCTGCCCCCTTGCCCTGGGAGTAAGGCCAGCCCCCTCATGAGCCTTCTGAAACGCTGCCCAGCCAGGCCCCACTTGAAGGCTTCTGGCCCTGTGGCCTTCCTGTGGTTTCTGTGCTCAAAACCATACCAAGTCTGTGCCTAGCCCGCTTTTGCCAAGAGTTTGGATGTGACGACCTTTGCCAGAAGCAGCCTCCCTCTGCAGCCCTGTCCTCCCCTCGCTCATGCCTGCCTGCCACCTTCAAGAAAGGGGTCTTCCTGAAGGAAGAAGCAGGTACCCTAAGTCCTGTGCTTCCCCAGGAAGAGCACTTCCCCTGCAGGATGGCTTTGCTGTCTCTCCATTCTGTGATACACAGCCTCGTGCATACAGAGGGCTTAATAAAGTGTGTTCAGTGAAGCCACTGGGTGCACACCTGCGACCCCAGCTACTACGAGGCTGAGGCAAGGAGGATCCCAAGTGCAAGGCCAGCCTCAGCAACGCAGTGAGGCCCTAAGCAACTTACTAAGAACTGGTCTCAAAAAACAAAAAGGGCTGGGGGTCTAACTCATGGTAAAGTCCCCCTGGGTTAAATCTCCAGTACCGACCCCCACGCCCCAAAAAAGAAGGAAAGTTTGAGGCCAGCCTGGGCAACTTAGGGAGACCTTGTATCAAAATAAACTAAAAAGGGCTGTAGCTCAGTGGTAGAGTACCTCTGGGATTCAATCCCCAATACTACTCACACTGGAAGAAAAAAGTGTTAGATGAGAAGCTGAACAGGTCTGCAGACCGCTGACATCTCCACGCCTGAGTACATACTCAGCCTCCCAGGGCACACCTCCATCTCTCTGATGAGAGTCAGTTCTGGGTCTGCAGCCTGGTCCCCTGTACACCAATGCTGATGTGGATGTCCAGCTGTTTCTAGATCAAGTTATTCAAAAAATATTTGTTGAGTGTATACTATGTGTCAGGCAATGATCAAGATCAGCATCATTTGGGGCTGGGGCTGTAGCTCAGTGGTAAAGTGCTTGCCTCACATGTGTGAGGCACCGGGTTCAATCCTCAGCACCACATAAAAATAAAGACACTGTGTGTTCATCTACAATTAAATAAACATTAAAAAAATAGATCAGCATCATTTGATGAAATGGTATGTGAGGAGTCAGGTGCAGTGATAGATATGCACCTATAATCCCAAGGACTCTAGAAGCTGAGGCAAGAGGATCACAAGTTCAAGGCCAGCCTGGACAACTTAGGTAGAACTTGTGTCAAAATAAAATTTGAAAGGGTTGGGGATATAGCTCAGTTGGTAAGAGTGCTTGCCTAGTATCCATAAGGCCCTGGGTTCAGTCCCCAGCACCACCAAAAAAAAAAAAAAAAAAGAAAGAAAATTTTAAAAAAGATTAGGGCCAGGCGTGGTGGCACTTTCCTGCAATCTTAGCAGCTTGGGAGGTTGAGGCAGGGGGATCACAAGTTCAAAGCCAGCCTCATCAACTTAGCAAGGACCTAAGCAACTTAGTGAGATCCTGTCTCAAATTTTTAAAAAATAGAATAAAACAGGGCTGGGAATGTGGCTCAGTGGTTAAGTGCCTTAGCGGTTAGTCCACGGCTCAATCCCTGGTACCATAAATAATTAAATTAAAATAAAATAAGTGTTGGGAAGGTAGCTCAGGGGTAGAGTGCTCCTGGGGTTGATCTCCAGTGTGGCTGAAAAAAAATTGCATGTGAACTACTTATATATTTTCAAGTTTTCCATTAGCCATGTTAAAAAACAAAAAGGAAACAAGTGGAGTTAATTTTAGGACATGATTTTCTTTAATCCATTATATCCATAATAGTGTCATTTCAACCCCTTGTCAATAAATTAAAAAGCATTCAAAAGATATTTTACATTTTTTTACATGAAATCTTCCAAAGCTGGTGTGAACTTTCTATTTAGAGCACATCTCAGATTGGACCAGCACATCTCTAAGGCAAGTGTTGGTGGCTGCTGTATGGTGTGGTGCATGTGTTGGGGTCCACCATATGCACTCAGGAAGCTTATGTTCTAGAGAGGAAGATAATAGTAAATGGGTACAGGATACATGTCAGTTGGTTGTCAGAAGAGTGACACCCCTAGGAGGTGACACTTCAGAATTTTGTAGCAAAGGGTAGCCATGAAACTGTTTCCAAGAAGAGCATTCAGGTGGCAGGAATGGCAGGTGCAAAGGCCCAGAGGCAAAATGGAAAGAGGCTGGTGTGGCTGGAGTGTGGCTGGCGTGGAGTGAGCCACAGGGCAAGAGCGCCCCAACAGCAACCCCAACTTCCTCAGTTGCTGGGCAACCTTACTAGCTCGGCCAGCCCCACCCCCTGTGTCCCACAAGTCAGCAGTCGCCTGGTCCCACTGCTTAACCCCCTTAGCCTCTTCCTCCTGTGCCTGCCTTTCACTACCCCTCAGAGGCCCCCGGGATCACTGGTGGACCTGGAGAACCCCCACAGCCTCTGTTCCCACCACTCAAGACCAACCCAAACACAGTCATTCCTGGACCCTCAGGATTCCATCCAGCTCCTAAACTGACCTTGGCCTGAGCCCATCCCAGCCTCCATGCCTCACCTCTCTGTGGCCTCACCTCTCCCACTGCTGTGATCCCAATTGGAAATGGTGGGCTGGGGTCGTGGCTCAGTGGTAGAGCACTCTAGCATGCGTGAGGCACTGGATTTGATCCCCAGCACCACATAAAAATAACCTAAATAAACAAAATAAAGGGATTGTGTCCATCTACAATGAAAAATATTTTTTTAAAAAAATTGGAAATGGCTAAAACGTCAGAACTGCTGACAATTTCTGATCATGCAACTCTCCTTGCCACTCTGTACTTTGCCTCCCTCTTCCCCTAAGGGTTGAGAGGGGCCACCTCTTCCAGGAAGGCTCTGGGTGGATACCTCTGCCTGGTGTTGCAGTCACCAGGGTCTGTGACCTCTGGGTCTGTCTCCCTGTGGAGGTCCCACTGGGGATTTACATAGTGAAAACCTCTGAATTACCTGAGCCCAGTACCTGACTCTGTTTTACACATGAAACATTAAGGATTTTCCTTGTTTGTTTGCAAGGGTATTTTATACACAGAATATAGCAGTTTTTATTTCAACATTCACCCAGCTCTTTTTATTTTTCCTGTGCTTCTTATACAGCATGGCTTCTAACCTTACTTTCCCGCCAGCCCCCGTATTACTGGGGATTGAGCCGGGTGGGGGGGGTGTCTTTAACCACCAAGCCATATCAGCAATTTTTACTTTTTACTTTGAGACAGGGTCTTGCTAGGTTGCCTAGGGCCTCAATAAGTTGCTGAGGCTGGCCTTGAACTTGCCATCCTTCTGCCTCAGTCTCCTGAGTTGTTCGGATTACAGGTGTGCACCATGGCCCAGCCAACCTTACTCCTTTTAAATCCGAGTGTCCTCGTTCAAAATAGGCACATGCCTGTAATTCCAGCAACTTGGGAGGCTGAGCAAGAGGATTGCAAATTTGAAGCCAGTCTCAGCAATTTAATGAGACTCTGACTCAAAAAAAGAGGCATAGATCTAGGGGTGCCTGCAACTCAGTGGCAGAGCAGTTGCCTAGCACGTGCAAGGCCCTGTAAAAACAGAAGCACGAGTCATCACATCGAAATACATAGCACCCCTTTCCTCCTTTATACTGCAGTTGTTATGGAATATTGATCTTGAAAGCATTGATCTTGAAAGTAGGGTATGTGGGGCTGGGATGTGGCTCAAGCGGTAGCGCGCTC